AAATGTAATGTGGGATTTCTATTATAACGAGAAAGTTCATTGACTCACCAGTTTCACTGATCATGGGCCATAGAAAAGCCCTTGGAGGGAGAGACTCGATCCCTGTAGCAGCAGCTTTCTGAATACCATACGTATGGTAGGGAGAAAACACTTGATTGTAAGCCTTGAATACTGCATCCTTTAGGGAGCTATCAGCTCTGTTAATCATAATCAAACAACCTCCAACAAAATTACAACAAGACACTCATCTCATACTCAGTTAGCTAGTATATATATAAATGCGTATATATGTTTTAACATTTCGCAAGAGAGCCCATCGAAGTAGACTTACTCGGTAGCTATTAATTCTTCGCCAAGACACTTGATCATTTCGAGACCTCGCTTTATCCTCAGAAGGTTTCTTGTATGACTTCCAACATGCTTTACACAGTTAGCCTCAATATCTTTGTCAACCATTACCTCTAATGTTGATATTGAGTTCGACGCCTTGGCAAGATCATTAACCTGAGAGTACATAAGTTTTTTTTCTTTTCCGGAAGATATTATAAATTGAAAAAATCAGTCACAAAACTTGGAAATATTTATAACGATGTCTTGAGTGACGCATCTCTTATAGTTTTCATAAATAATTTCACTGTTCTCTGCAACCAAAATACCTTGACAACATAGTCTATCTCGGCAAATTTAAAGGCTTCTTCGAGAACATTAAAAAGGTGCATGAAGAGAGAGCAAGCTTCAGAGAATTGCTTCACGGGCATGACCGGACTTGGCGAATTCACCATGGTCGCCAGTTCCTTGAATGCGTCCGCGACTATCTCCAGTGGTTTCTTTGTCATGAGATCTGCCATTGCCTAGCGTTCGATTTCTCTCTTTTCAATATCAATTTTTTTTTTTTGTTTTTATGATCTTTCGATTGATATCTGATTTGTGTAGAAAATGGGGAAAAATTGATAGAATGTAATAGTCAAATGACACCCTCGCACGATCTCAATATATAGAGTTAGGAGAAGCTTCTCCTTTGTTATTGTTTACGTTATTGAACAAATAAATTTATTTTAGCCCTAACTTGTAGTTGTAACCTTTCTACAAAGACTTTTGTTTTTAATGGGCCACCAAGGAAAAGACTTTTGTTTTTTAACGCGTCAAGGACACATATAGATCACCTCGATCGGTAGAATCTCCACTAGTTTCTCAA